TGGTTGCCATGGCTCCCAGCTACTGCTAATCCTTGCCTGGACGGGCTGGACCTCTGCAATGTCCCAGGCGGGCGTCACCTTGAGTGACCCTCTGAGCAGCATGGGGCTGGGGCCAGTCCGGAGACAGAGGTGCACGAAGGCCATCTTTCTAGGCAGCAGAGTCCTCAGGAGAGCCAAGGTGACCCAAGCATCTGGCCTGACTTGGGGGCTGGGCCCTAAGAAGTGTATAGATGGGCCTTACGTAGGACCCGGGTGCCAGCGATCCCAGGAGACTGAGACCCAAAGCTGGGTGGGGCTCTGAGTGAGCAGAACGTGAGGCGGAATGGAAGACCGAGCAGAGGCCCTCAGCCTGGGCAGGCGGAGAAGGCTCCGGATGGAGGCGCGACGAGGGGCGCGCAGGGTCTTGGGCACCCGCCCCGATGGCAGTGTCCTCCAACAGGGTGTTTCGTCCCTGCAGCATGGGAGCCTGGTGGACCCCTGCGCTGCTCAGGGACGAAGAGTCTCGACGCAGTGCCAGTGCTGGGCGTCTGTCCCAGGTGCTGGGACAGGAAGAAGAGGACATGGCTCCTGATAACCTTAGCCAGCATGGGCCCCTACCTTGGCCCTCAGTGTCCCCAACTATGTTGCAGATGAGGGCCCTGGTTCCTGTAATGGGAAACAGGTTCAGAGGTGGAGCCAGCCGCCAGTGTGGCCAGGTGGGTCGCAAGTGTGTGCAGTGGGCGCTGTCTTGTTCGTGCTGTGGGAAGCCTCACTCACGCAGAGGATGGTGACTGAGGACGCTGCTGGGCCCCATCTCCTTCCTGATGCTGAAGTTGGAACATGGCCAGGTGGAGGAGAGGCCAACCTGGAGAAGAGCCCTGAGCCTGATTCTGTTGGGAGAGCCCTGAGCAAGCCCTCCAAGGTAGAGGGGTTTCTGCTCTTGGTGTGGACAGCACAGGCTCTTGAGCCAGGGACAATGCCTCCCCCGCTGCCCCAATTGCCACAGGGGGTATGACAGGGAAATCAAGACACAGCCAGGCTGCCAGATGTGGTGGCACACACTTGTAATCCCAGGACTTGGGAGGCCGAGGCAGGCAGATTGCAGCAAGTTCAAAGCCAGCCTGTGCGACATAGTGAGTTTAAGGCTATATTGAATTACATAGAAAGATCTTGTCTCAAAACAACAAACAAATAAACAACAACAAAAAAACAGGCTGGATGTACAACGGGCACCTTCCTGAGGCTCCTAAATCAGGTCCTGCTGGTGGCACTGCCTGTCTCCCACCTCTGAGAGCATGGCCACACCAGACAGCTGGGATTGGGGTTTCTCCCCTCTGATTGAGAGGCTCAGGGGAAACTAAACTAGCTGGTGGGAGCAGGGCTACATTGGCACCGGTCCACAGTATACTGAGGGGAACCTCCTGGGGGTATGGCCAGGGCCATCACATACCCTGTGGCTTACCTGCCCAGGCATATGGCTTCGCCCTACCCCAGGGCCTTTGTACCTGTGGCTCTCTGCCTGCCTCTTCTTTACTTAGCCACCCCTCACTAGGGTGAGGCACCCTCCTTAGAGAGGTGGTCCCTGAACCCCCATATGCCTTGTTATTGTTACTTTGCTTCTTTCTATACTAATCACAATCTAACATTTCCCATATTTAAAAAGATTTCTTTCTCCCCAGAACTCTGGGAAGCTGAGACAGGATCAAAGTTTGAGCTTAGCCCAAGCAACTCAGCAAGACCCTGTCTCCAAAAAACAAATAAAAAACCCCCAAACAACAACACACACAAGAAAAACATTTTAAAAATTAAATCAAATTTCATTTAAAAAGGGCTGGGGATATAGTTCAGTATAAAGGCCCTGAGTTCATTTTTTTCAAAAGATTTTGTTTTTTTGGCTTACCTCATCTTTTTGCTACACTCTGAGCTGTGGAACAGGTGTTCTTTTGTCCAGTGGTACATTTGTCCCACTGAGGGCAGACTGGGCCCCCAAATGCTCAGAAACGGCAACTCCCATTTCATCCAAATGTGCTGGGGGTACAGCTGTCACACGCGGCGCTCAGGCAGGCTCGCTTCCCAGCCAGCAGGCCCAGTGAGACACAGCAGGACCTCGCTAACCTGCTCATCCCACACAGCCACCCATGGGGCCCCGCACCTCCTCTACCACCTCCAGAGAACATCTGGACCCCAGCAGAGTCTGCGCTGCTCGGCCAGAGGCCCTGGGAGGCTGGGACACTCAGCCTGCCCGCCCTACTCTTCCCTGCTGGGCGTCAGGGAGGAAGGACATTCACCTCCGGTGGTGGCCATTCCTCAGTCAGAACCGTGGGCCCAAGAGGCTCCTTAGCTTGCAGGGAGGTGGGCACAGCAGCCCACAGGCCAGTTTTATATTTTCTAAACCCGTTTTCTTCAGGATGGGTATCTGGCTCCATACCAGGGCAGGGAATGGCTCCATACCAGGATGGGATCTGTGCAGCTCCCCCTGGGGAACTGGCAGTCACCAAAGAGATGGCCTAGGTCGGGGAGGGAGGCTAGGGATAGGTCCTGTGAGCACCCGGGACAGTGTGCCTCCCGGCTGAGGCTAGGCCTCTCTTTCTCTAAGCGCACGTTTTCCATCACAAATACAGTCCATATTCCTAGTAGAGAGTATAGAATTTCAGATAAGCATAAAGAAAAAAAAAACAAAAACTCCTGGTACCCAGGCTCCCTGAGGGAGCTGCAAGCCTGTGTCCTCTGAGCCCTTCAAACTAATAGCCAGCAGCCCCTCCCACACCCCCTCCACCAGCGTCCTGGGGTCTCAAGGGTCCCACCATCACCTGGAAGCCTTCATCTTCTTCAACCACTGGCTGAGCTCCAGGAGTTATGGCAGGGAGAAGCCCTGAGGCTGCACCCTCACTGAAGAGATGCCTAACACCCTCCCACCTGTCTAGCAGGATAAGGCCCTGGATTCTTCCTTGTTAACATCCCAACCCTGGCTCACCTGGGATCTTGTGCAAAGTACAGGTTCTCAGGCAGCTCCACCTGCTGAGAGGCACAGGGAACTCTGCCTTAGACCTGGCCCCAGCCAGTGCCTAAACTCTGACCACCAGCCAGCTGGGTCAGCACCCCACACATCCCACCTTCGTCCTCCTCGATACTCCGGCGGCCCTGCTCTCCGCCTCGGTAGGACCCACCATTTCTCCCCTCATTGAGGACTCCTCACTCCTCAGCCTCTCGGGAAGGCCCAGAAAATTCCCGTTGGCCTCCTGCTAGGGTCTGCGGCCCAGCGTGGACGACAAGAGAACAGGGCGAGGGCGGGACCGTCACTAGAGTCACTGCCAGGGGCGGAGGACTGGCAGGCGGGTGCGTAAAGGTCTGGGGTAGGACCGACCGACCGAGCTTGGGCACTGGAGATCCGGGCCGCGCAGGGGATCCCGCTGCGCCCACTCACCCCTACAGCGTGCGACCCGCCCCCAGCACGTGACACGCCCAGCCT